ATATGACTGAGATGATTGTTTAATTATGTTACAAAAAAGTTTGTGTGCATGTGAGGTAGCTGCCATTGATTACACTTTATATTGTTTTGTGTTACAGTATGTCGACACTCCATTTCACGAATTGTTGCAAAGTGACCATGAATACCAAGTTCACCAGGACGGAACCCATCCTTGTTACATGCTGGAGCTGTGGAGCTGACCCGAGTCTATTGAACCAGGTAAATATGTAGCCTTTCTTATTTTATATTATAGGACGATACAGGGGTCCAATAGAGTATTGGTTAAAATGTTAGGATTTAATATTCGCTATTTAGTTTTATTACAAAAAAATAAAAAGTGTATTCAGTACATTTTCGACTGTCTTAAAATTTGGACCTTTTTTCGATTTGGGGTGGGATGTTGGGGAGCGTACTCATCCACTCATATTAAAATAACGCTTTATTAACATGTGCACTTTACATAGTGTATTAAATCAATCAAACAATCAATTTTATTTTCTGAATTTGTATTCCTCTACTTCATGAATGTATGAATGTCATAAAGTTTTCAAAAGGTGTTTTTAATCTAATGAGATTCATAGTTAATTAGGCCTAACTTAATACTGATGCAAAAATGAAATAGTTCGAATGTATTTCTCACTAGTTCAATCTTATTTATTTCAGTGTCTACGGTCAAATCTACGGATCCATCAATAAGTGCGAAGTCGATGTACAATTATTGTCATCGGAACACGATGTGTATTAAATTGCCTGTACACAAGTATGTGGTCTTAATTCTACAAATAATCGCGCGCGGATATTATTAGGATTTATATCACTGGATCGCCGGAATTGAATCAAATTTGCCAATTATGTTTCTTATACAACGAACAAGTAATTCTCGAACAATATTACATACTTAAATATAATTAGGCCTAAGCATTATATATATTATATAAAACTAGAATCATTATATTCTATTTATATTACGTTTATATACTTCTGATATAACATTTCAGAAGAATTCAGTAAGAATTAATAAAAGTAAACTGTAGTGTAATTTATAATACATCATTGTGTGCACTTCCTTTGTCGTAATTGCATTAATAATAATACAATATATTTCATGATTATTAATCAGTATATAATCGAATTTAATATATTATAATCTCTTCGATTCAAATATAGCATTATTACAGGCTACTATTTATATTATAAACAGTCTTTCCATAATATAATATGACACCAAAAATTACGAAACTTCTCAGAACATTAACAAGGTGCTGTCGAATTTTGCAAAACAGGAAATGACGTCGGTTGCTAGGCTACAACTAATGCATATTCAGTAACACCTGTACTCATTAGACTAATAATAAAAACTTTTAGCTCAGTTTTGACAAAATTGACAAAAAAGATTTTATTGTTAGTCTAATTAGAACAGGTGTCACTGAATATTCATGATTATGCATGAGCTTGTTGCTTAGCAACTTCGTCATTTCCGGTTTTATGTTTTTGTTGAGGGCGTCCTCGAAAGAATTGCTAGTCTAATAGATAAAGTAGCACATATATGAAGCAATTCTTCACTTTGGTTTAAAATTATAAACTTATTATAATAAGGATATTTTAGCTATTGAATTTATTACAGTAAACATAGACATTAAATAAGATGAGAAGAAATGCACAATTCCATTTGATATTTATTTTCAAGAATTGAAATCAAGTTGGGATATAATTTTAGCCTATATACATTTTATATTTATATACTGTAGGACTATATCATGTACATTCGGCAAAAATCAATAAATCAGATTTTAATTCTTAAAATGTTATATCTTATTATCTTACATGTCTATATTCTTTATAACAAACGGGTTATTTCCTCTATTAATAAGATAAACATTAGCAGTAATAATACAATATTAATAAACTACAAGAATTACTACATATTGCTAACATTTATTTTTGAGATTATTGCAGAGGAAAACATTTAAAAAATAAAATTTACACTATATTTTAATTAATTTCATATCCAGAATTTTTGCAGAAAATTTGATGAGTGACACTATTTTTGGCTATCTATTAATAATTGGTAAGTTCTGTTGCCCTTTGTGTTTCTTTCCTGATAGTTGTGGCTTCTTTGTCTACATCACTGGAATAGAAAAATATTGAGAAAAGATTAAGAAACAGAGAAAGAATTATAACGGAGTATCATCAAAACATAATATATAAATAAAAACAGAGGCAGAGCCAGTAGGTTTGAAATAGAGGGGGCCCACGAGGAGGGACTTTGCCAGTTGAAGGGTTCCCACCACCTCAGCCCCACCATGGTTGGGGATGAGGTAAGAATTTTTTCGATTATGGCACCTCTAGATGGCCATAAATGGCACTCTCAGATTTTAAATTTGAACGTAATTTTCTTTTTCCCCAATTTTTTACGTTTTAAAAGATTTAGGGTGGGGGAGGGGGAGATGAGGCCGACTGAACCCAACCTGAACATTATCGTATTCAGTTATCGCAATGGACAATGCTGCTGATACAACATAATAGTACTTCACAATTCTTATCATATCAGCATTACCATATTAAATATATTTATAGTTTCATCATACCACAGAATGATGTGAGGATTATAAAATACATGGCATTGGGTAGGACTAGTAGATAGCAATAGCGCAAACAAATTTTGTTAGAATTCCGATTGTCACGGGTAAATACAATTTATAAAAAGTGTACTATTCGATAGAAATGAATATATAGATTCATAAATACAGTATATTTAAACCAAAAAAAATAATACTAAACTATAATTTCATACAAACATTTTTCATGATATAATATTTTTTGATTGATTAATTGAATTTATTCGATGCTAAACATGCATAAGCAAGATAACAAATAGATTAAGATAAAAAAAAATTTAAAAACCGAGCATCAGGAACGCCCATTAGGACGGAGCCCGGGCTATATCCAATGAGGTCCAATTTAAATAGGGCCTATACACTGTCTGTCTTGAGCTGAAATTTAATTCCATAACGGCATGAATAATTATATTTAAGTAAGTTACAAAATTACAATTAAAATATATAAAAGACAAAATTGTTTTCCTGTAAATTAACAAACAGTTAAATTATACCAGTGCTATATTCTCATTTATACATAGACTCTATAGACTGTCGATTAAAGATTTTTTAGTAAAATGTTTGTAAAATCAGGAAAAATGAGAAAAACGTCGATAGGAGTCCAATAATTCTGATCGGGGTCTAAAACAAGGGGATACCTAGAGCCTTGTTCAGAGTCCCGGAATAAAATCCATGGGGAGAGGTTCATCGGGAGAAATATTAAGGTACAGGTTCGCCCATGTGATTTTTGACCACAATTGGATTGTGGGACGAGGGAGTTGATATTAATTTATAAGTTATGGTAACTCGGACTACATGAGCAAGGCTAGTTGCGTTTCAAGTTAAAAATAATGTTTATTTTACAGCAACATGTGCTACTGGGGCCCAGACCCAGGATTTATCAATCTCAGCTTAGCAAATGTCTTAATTCAAAAAAGTTAAGATGTCCCTAAAGCAACTTACCTTAAGCTGATTTATAAACCATCTTAGCAAAATCTAAAATTGTCTTAGATGGCGCATGCGTACGGTCAACTTTTTAATTTTAAGCTTGAGCTAAGCGCAATATTGATAAATTTGACTTAAGCCAAAAAAAATGGACTTTAGACAATTTTAATGATTTCTAGTTTGTTAAATCTGGGCCCAGCATACAAACTTATGCGGCGTATATATAAGGACAGGCTGAGGTTATTTAATTTATTCTCTTTGGAGGTCAGAAGAAATCTTAGCCGTGTTTTACTTTTTGCTAAATATTTCTCCTATAATTGCCCTACAAGTTTGGCTTATCCATTTTTTAAAATCCCATAGATCCCTCTAATTAACGACTGATAGGACTACATTATTTTCAAAAATCTGTTTTCATTAAGGCAGCTAAATTGTAGAAAACCCTGCCTCCTAGCGCCATTTTCTGTTAAATGGTCTGCTGCCTTATCTTTTATTGAAAACTGGGAGCCCTATCAACATTGTTTTCAAATTCAGGCTTTTTTGTATTGTTTTTACTTTCATGTATGAATTACATTTTATCATATGAACAGTGGACCACTTTTAGTGTTGGGCCTTGCCCATGTCTTACTCTAGGCACTCTCCAAGTAATTTCATCCATTGCATATTATTCATCTATATGTCGAAATGGTAATAAATATATAAATATAGACTTTCTTTATAGGAGGGACGCCATGGGCCAAATTTTCATTATTATTATTATCATTCTTATTATTATTATTATTATTATTATTATTATTATTATTATTATTATTATTATTATTATTATTATTATTATCATTTTTTTTATTAGGCCTATTATTATTATTAGGCCTTTCATTATTATTATTAGGCCTTTCATTATTATTATTAGGCCTTTCATTATTATTATTATTATTATTATTATTATTATTATTATTATTATTATTATTAAATTCCTATATAAAATGCTCAACTGCTCTGTATATTCGAAAAGGGGAAATGTGTAACCGGCCCCCGCCTAAATTATTCCAAAATTAATTCGAAAATGGATAAAAAATGAAAATTGTATTCATATTTAAGTCGTTTCCGGCCATCTAGAGCATGGACTTTTCTATATGTGAAAGTGCCCCCTGGATCCCCTCTATTTCGAATTTCTGGATCCGTCACTACAGTAGAAGATTTATTTGATAGGCCTATCGACATCATGGAAGTACACATCCATGAAGATAATAATATCAATATTAAAAGACGGTGTCATTTGAGCCTACCCCGATCACTTTCGCTGTCCTTTAAAAATAATATAGAAAATATTTTTGTCGATCTATAACAAATTTCGATTATTTAGGATTAAAGGTTGTGTACCAGATAATTATAGGCTCTTGGTAACAAATTGCATATATTGTCAATAAAAAAAATGATACGAATCTAAAATGTAAACAACGAACGGAAGTTAACAAGCCCCAAGCTGTAATTACTGTAAATAAAGTTTTTTAGCCAGTTTCAGGTATTTGGTGGTTTTAGCGTGTCACTTGGAATATGTTGTTGAATAGAATGCAGCATGTCAGTGCATGCTTCTGTTGAGGAAATCGTCAATGCCTTCAATGCGGCTGCCTAACAAACGTAGTCGAAATAATAACCATAGAATTCCCATTTACTTATTTATTTTTATTATTTATTTAGGCACATAATATATGTGCCAAGGATTGCCAATAGCGAATATATCACTGTCCTACTTGTAGGTGACAATCCCTTACACAAGACAAACATACACACACGATGCTTTACGCAAACTAAATCTCAATATGAGATTCAGGGAGTGGAGTTGTTATTCAACTAGTGAATTAACGATGCAAAATGTTCAATACTGTACTCACATTTTGTTATTAATTGTAAAGTCTCCTTCGTCGTCCATTGAGTAATGTTTATATGTAAAACGCCACCTGGAGTGGTATAAAAAACAATTCGTTATTCTTTTTTTAATGCGCCATTTCTTTATGACGATGAGGATGATGAGGGTGATGTGATGATGATGATGATGATGATAATAATAATAGCAACAACAACAACAACAACAACAACAACAACAATAACAATAATAATAAAAATGGTGATGATGATGTCGATAATTATTATTATGTTAATGATTGTAGAATAAAAATCGACTTTAAAAAAACGACTCAGATGGAATCAGTAGAGTTATGTGACACTAAGGTATTAATGGTCAAACCGGCCCTAATTACTTGCAATCTAAATTTATCACCCTTTTAAAGTGAGGGATTTTGTAAATTATGCATGTGCTATTTCCCGGCAGAGAAGCCATTTTTTAAACCATGGTGTTGTGTCCGCCCCTTAAGGGGATCGGGTAGGCTAGTGGCTGTCTGGTTACCAGTATGGGCGCAGATCATGGGGAGACGGGGGACACGTCCCCCACATATTTTTAAGGGGGTTTTGATCCCTCTAACTTTTCGACCACAATGTAATTTCATAAGTAAAAAAGATGCCTGAACGTTGTTGAAATGAACTGTATAATTAATGACCCAGGTTTTAACGAAAGAGCGCTGTATAACCAATGTACAGTACTGTACATTTTATCTTATAGCAAGATTCCGGTATCTCTGCCCACTAACATCTGAATTATCTGTAATACACGACTCGAGTGCCCGTGCCTTTATTATAATTTGCAAAGTATGAGAAAAGTATAATATTAGATCTCTATCATTGCCGAAAATTGCAGATAAAAAATCATGGTGATGTGGTGATGATGAATTTTACAAGAGTGTCATTCCGCGTCCGGCCGTCTTGAGGTACCGTATCATTCATCAATCATGATGAGGCTGAGATGGGTGTTGACTAAGGGCTTTGAAGTAAGTGAAGCAAAGTAAATACATAAAAAAAGACAATGTTTCATCTAGAGGTACTATTTCCTCAAATGTTCGCACCTCAGCCCAACCATGGTGGGGCTGACGTAGGTATCAGGGGAGAATCCAGAGATGTCCAAAAAAGGGGGTGGGGAGTTGGGCCGATCAAGACAACACTGTCCTAGTGGGTCCTAGGGGAAAAGCCCCCGCGATATTTTTGTGTTCTAGACGCCAGAAAATAACATTTGAGGCGTTCTGGGCTATCTTGTTTTTCTTTTTTTCTTCTTGTTTTTTAACCTCCCAAAATGGGAGGCCCGGACCACTTGCAAAATGCTTCCGGCGGCTATGGTCTATAAAGGAATCAAAGTTAAACCACCTCCATGGTTAAACAGACCGTTTATTGGCGATCGTATTAGAGAAAAGAAGTGTGTTAAGGAAGGTTTAAGTTCAGTAAGTAGAGTGTGTAAGAAAGCGATACCTCTGTTTTGGTTAAAAGTTAATTTAATTTTATTAGTACAATATTTATAAGTAAAAGAAGATACTGTACAGTAGAATAATAATAATGTCGTTCTTATATAGCGCTTCATGCCTTTACAAGGCCTCTAAGCGCTTCACATTACTACCCCGGTCATTGGCTCAAACACATATGGAACACATTGAACACCAAATTAAATTAGTAAATGAAATTATATTATCATTCCATAAATTGCAGCTAGTAAATCAACGCAGGTTGTGTTGGAACCTACCAGGTACCCACTTGTACTCCTGGGTGGAGAGAGGCAACCGTAGATAAAGTGCCTTGCCCAAGGACACAAGCGATTTGCACAGCCAGAGTTTCGAACCCCCGACCTCAAGGTTGGGAGTCGAAGCCACAACCGGTGCGCCAACCGCTCCTACAATGCTAGCCAGCTATTGGGAAAGTAGGGACAGTCCCACATAATTTGTCTATTGGGTCTACAAAGAATGGGTCCGCATTTTAAAATTGGGTCCAGATATCTCATATTTTGCATAAAATGCGGGGGTAAAATGGGACAACTTTAAAGAAAATGGGTCCACATTATTTGAATTTACGCATGAAGTGGGTCCACGCTGATATTGTCCCACACTGTTTAAAAATCCTGGCTACGGTATTTGTTATTCATTCATGACCTGAATTATTGGTCGGTAATTCCATATATTATATGTATGTATGTATGTATGAATGCATGTATAATCTAACCTTATTAAATCATGGAAAGAATGCACGAACTGAGCTGGAAGCCTTCCAGGAACATTCTTAAGCTTTTCTTTTTAATAGGCATATATATATAACACATCTAGATGTGTATAAGAGACAGGTGTATGTATGTATATATATATTAAGAAATCAATCAGAAACATCAAACACATTTTGGACAGAAATGAAAAACTGATGGACAAAACTAATCAGAAATGATACTGTTGTATCTACCAATTATTACTGTAAAAATAGTTCCATTAAAATGTTAGTTTTATCCAATACCCAAAAATCAACCTCGGCGTCTCTCTCCCGTAATTTTCAAGTAATCATATTGCACATTTTTTTGGCAAATACAGCAATTTCGTCTGATAAGTTTTAGGAAAAAATGGCCCTCTCCTCGATTAAAAGACCAGAATCTTCACAAAACGAAGTTCAATAGTATTATTCAAGCAAATTTGCAATTACTAAGTTAAACACACTTTAAGATAAAAAATATATATCCTTAAGTAGGCAAGTTAAATTACATAAATTAATGTTGGGTTTATCATGATTCATTGTACAGTATGTGAATAAAAGTCTATCTGCCAATCTTTTTATAGGTTTCCTAATCAGCCAAGCAAAATACTGTTTTGTGTATTTGATATATGGACCACTTTAAGCTATTTAATATTAATTAGTGTATCTAAATTCGGGGAAATAAGTATACAACTAAATGTAGATAAGAAAATTATGTATTATATTCATAATTAGCTGGAACACCTGGAAGAAATAAACTTATTTTGGGTAAAATGTGTTCCCTATAGAAATTGATTTTGTTTTACTGAAATCCCAGATTAAACTTCTACACTACTTGAAATTTACTTAGCTTTTAAAAAATGAATCACATTATAAACAGATATCAATTGAAATGCTCTAGCAGAAAATGAAATATATATTTCAGCTCAATGACAAACAAAACTTTGAAAATTGTAATAAAATACTCATCGGAGAATAAATAAAATGACAAGAGGGCGCAGTTGCATTATGTGAGCAGTACTTTTGCCATATGAAAACATCATATAACTTGAACTGCTCTTAGATTTGGTGTGGCGCCACTTATTAGATAACACGATTCTCTAAAACTTGTTGTGACGCCAATAGCCAAGCGTCTTTCCCCTAGCAAAACATTAGATAACATGAACCTCTCTGTTTTTGTGTGTTAACATAACAGTAACCAAAAGTAAAAAATGGATCTTTATGAGTGTCAATCATACTTAAGAACTGAAGAATCACCACAGATCCAGGATTACGGTTTTGTCTCACAAATGCACATGTTTAAGTATGTTTACGCTGTGGGACCTTAGCAAGAATAGTAGCTAGAAAATGTGGGTTTTTTATACAGCACTCAAAAACAAGGGGCAGGGCTTAGCAATAAAATCGATTAAATACAAAGTATGTAAAATGAGGTGCTTGGACCATGAAGGTATAAAATAAATTGATACCCCCATCCCTGGATTTAGTGTGAGATCCATAAGCAGAGCAAGTCCACCATAAACAAATGTTAGACATTAATAAAAAGCCTCTTGGTTTTTACATAATACAATCAAATATTTGCATAACATTGCAGCCAAATTGTAGGATTCATAGAGTTTTAAAAGGAACATTCTTGGGTTAATCTAAACTAGTCAAAATACGGACTAAAAGTTATTAAATTTACTCACAAACAAGGTTATATTTTGTACAAAATTTACAAACCCTTGTTAAAACACATCACCTGCTCTTATTAATATTGGTAAAAAACAGCAGAATTATATTTAAAAATGCATCTCGAAAACTGGGTAATAGTAAAATTTTACTATTTTCAATATCAAATTTGACATTTATACAATATCATTAACAACCATAAGAAGACATTTAAATGTTCACCCCCGCGCTCTATAATACTGCTTGTAAATTGCCTTATCACAAAAAAACATTGCATCTTATAAACAAGCTTATGCAGATAACCTCTTTTTAAGTACTCTTAAGTTTGATCACTATAAAATATTTGAAAAAAATCGGTGACTTTATTATCGGTGGTTTCTAAACCCAACATCCCTATTAGACTGACAGTCTTTAACTAGAACTGATCACTATTTAGTTTTCCACGAACCATGCATTACATTGGCATTACAGGCCGTGCATTTCACTGGCAGCAGTCAACTAGGGACCATGCATTACACAGGCAGTAGGTAACTACAGGCCGTGCATTACTTTGGCAGTTGTCAACTAGGGACCATTCATTACAATGGTAGTTGTCAACCACAGGTTGTGCATTACACAGGCAGTTATCAACCACGAACCATGCATTGCACTGGCATTTGTCAACTAGGGACCGTCCATTACACAGGCAGTTATTAACCACGAACCATGCAATACACTGCCAGTAATCAACTAGTGACCATGCACTACACTGGCACTTGTCGACTAAAGACAGTGCATTATAATGCCAGATACTTACACAGGCAATCGTCAAAGTGACATGCATTCCACAGACAGATGTTGAATATGGACTACAATTTTTAAATCTATAACTGTTTGGTACAGTTTCCTAGACCTGCTTTTAAAAAATTATAAAGTTTAATGTTTATAAAAAAATAAAAACATAGTGAATAAAATTTACTGATTTTCTGGCTTGTCACTATTTTTTAGTTGACATCGATTTGTTTCCTGTCAACTTCCTATATCCTTCCTGTGCACTGGTGGGGAATAAGCTACTTTAACTGGTAGCGGTGGTGGAGGCTGAAAAGAAAAACAATAGGAGTTGACAAAATAAAAGCATTTAGAAAAAAATTATTTGAATTACCAGCCATGTTGGGACAGTTGTATTATTCTCTAAGGGTAGAAACAGTGATTTTTTTTTTTTTTTTCAAATTATTACTTTTATAGATACTAGTAAAAGATTTTCAATACCCTCCGACAGATAATGGATCTTACCTTGTCCTTTTTCAAAACTAGATAGGGACTTGGACTGGAAGCCTTTTGTGGAACCATTCCATTGTCGGGTAGGTTAGAGTAATCTGCATAGGCTTGCTTAGGGGGCAACATTGGGGGCTTATCATTCTGATTTACTACTGTGGAAAAGAGAATAGAAAAAAAAATAAACTTTATTATATGGCTGCATGAAATAAAAAATTGAGTCAGAGATAAACAAACTTCTCATCTTTATGTTAAGGACTTTATCAGCACATTTATGAGGTCTTTAAGATAATAGTTGATATATATTTAGAGTAACTTAAATAATTTTTATTAATGTCGAGGGGTGCCATGAGCATTTTCTTTATAAGGTTTCATTATTATTATTATTATTATTATTATTATTATTATTATTATTATTATTATTATTATTATTATTAT